GCACAATATCTGAGAGTACAGGGTTTGGAGCCCAAGAAACTAGTGATCTAATCCCAAACTGTGACTTTTATTAGCCCTGAGAATGTAATTCACAAGTGCTTTGTAACTTTGAATCCTCCTCTGTAAAATGAGGCTAGTAACAGTACCTACCTCCTAGAGAATTGTTGTGAGAACTAATGACGGTATTATTGCAAGGGACCTAGGTCAGTGCATAGTAAACACTCAAACAGTACTTTTAAGAGTAATGGACAATTGTGAAACAATTGTTGGCAGCATTAAGCAAACACCTAAATCCTGTGCCAAGAATGGCAGAACTGAAATGCCTTTAGAAATGCAAGTGCCTTAACTTTGTGACCCGGTAGGGAAACTTTGTATCCATAATGGTGTCAAGACTGGCGCTTACAGTAAGTGCACCAGAACCTCTGGCAGGGGTGGGGTGTGGAGGGGGGGATGGTGAGGGAATTTCAGAAACAGTCTTGCATATGTTAAGACACAAACAGGTGCATTTAAACTCCAGATGAAATTCCATGGAAGTTGACCTTCAGATCAACTAGTTCAGATCTCTATCTAGGTCAGGTCTCTGTTGTCCCCTTCATGGGAAAAGACTGATCATAGGACAGAAAACATCATTTAAGAAGCTTCAGGGTTGAAACAGCAGAAGTTGGGCCAAGCTTAGTGGCAATCATCAGAACCTTGTCTATGAAAGTGGAAAAACAAACCCTCCAGATTAAAATTAGAAGCTGTCCTTCCAGTGCCAAACTCACCAGGGCCCAGTGTTGAATTTATGAGAACACTGACAGGGTGGGATCAGTCTATCCTGCAGCAAAGCATATGCCATATCTCAGGAAGAGCCAAGGCTGCTTTCAGCGACTTTGGCCATGTCTTTTTAGGCAGGCTGTTCTTAGCGCAGCTGTGAGATCTCTTTGGTTATTCTAAAACAAATAACCAAAATAATTTCTTTATTTGCTTGGGGAGCAAGTAGACAAAGATTAGAATAATGTTTCCTAAACCAGGTCCTGGCACACATTACTACTCAAAATACTCTTCCTGGCCTAGCAGTATGCTCAAACAAACATCAGTATGCCTAAAAAATACAAGGGTTTCTCGAAAAATATGTGGATTCTGAGTCTGAAGATCTGGTGTGGAGCTTAAAGTCCTTCATTTCTACCAAACTTTCCCTCAGTGCTGCAAGTCTACTCTAGAACCTTGCTACCCATAGCATGGATCAGTATAGACTTCACTTGGGATGTGCATTCTCTGTCTCCTACCCAGACTTCCTGAATTAGCATCTGCATTTCAGCAAGACCCTCAGAGATTTCTATGTACATGCAAGTTTCAGAAGCACTGAACATATGGGAATCAATTCCCTCAAGGCATTGGTTGCACATCCTCTACACAATGTAGCTACTTCTGGTACCCAGAAGTTTTGAAATATGTTATCCTGCCATAGCCGACTCTAGCAGTGCTCTGCCCATATCCTTTCCAATCCTTTTCCATCTTCACACACAATACCTTGATGGCTTTCACTTCCAGCAGCCAGCACCCTTGCCTCTGTTGGCTGTTCCTTCTGAATGCTGGAATCCCCTTTGTGTACTATCAAGAAAAGCAGAAGTACCTGGGGATTTCCATCACCTCCAGCAGCCCTTAACCAAGAGTAACAGGCACAGGGACTGCCACATTCCAGCTCTATGCTCTTCATCAAAACTCAACTTTGATGTGTGGTCTACATCAGGATGGAGAAGGCCAAAGTGCCTGAGTTTGTTTGGTGTCACACCCTTCTACCTTCTTACCTTCTCAGTCCTGCTCAGTCCACTATAAATTTGCCATGGAACACTTTATAATAAACCCATTCCTCGTCAGTCCTTGGCTCAGGGTCTGCTTCCGGGGAATCCAAAGTAAGATACGTGCTGTTTTAGCTCAGGATGATAGAGACAGAAACCAGTACCCAGGTAAGAGTTGGGTTATGTCTAAAGTTCCCTTGATCACTGCTTTAGTCCCTGAATCTTTGGTTTAGCATGGGTCAGATTTTTTGAATATCTCAAAGAGCTGCAGGAAGCCAATGAATTCTAGGAATTCCACACGTAGAAATTTAGATGTTCACGTTCTGACAATGTGATGAAAATAAATTGTGCTTTACTTTCTGAATTAGCTAACCGTGGCTGTGTAGTGAGGGTGGTGATGATGCTATCCTTTGGCTGGCTTTATAAAACACCCATTATAAAAAGCTAAGCATCTAGAAGATGGGCACTGACCAAAGGCTACAGCCACAGCCACAGCCACCCACTACCTGTGGCTAGTGAATACTTGGAAGGTTGTCAATGTAAATTGAGATGGGCTATCAGTGTAAAGCCAATACCTCACTTCAAAGACTAAGTACACAAAAAGAGTACAAGGGGCACCTGGGAAGCTCAGTCAGTTAAGCATCTGACTCTTGATTTCAGCTCAGGTCATGATTTCAATGTCATAAGATCAAACCCCATGTCAGGGTCCACACTGAGCTTGGAGCCTGCTTGGGATTCTCCTTCTCCCTCTCTCTCTGCCCCTCCATTGCTCACACTTTCTCTGTCTCTCTCAAAATAAAGAAATAAACACTTTTTTTAAAAAAAGAATATAAAATAGCTACATTTTATGTTGATTACATGATTAATATTTTTGAAATATTAGTTAAAATAAAATATGCTACTAAAATTAGCTTGAGGTGCCTGGGTGGCTCAGTCAATTAAGCATTCAACTTTGGCTCAGATCATGATCTCACAGTCATGGGTTCAAGCCCCACACTGGGCTTTGTGCTGAGAGCTCAGAGCCTGGAGTCCGCTTTGGATTTTGTGTCTCCCTCTCTGTCTGCTCCTTCCATGTTCCCACTCTGTCTCTCTCTCTCAAAAATAAATAAACGTTAAAAATATTTATTTAGGGGCGCCTGGGTGGCGCAGTCGGTTAAGCGTCCGACTTCAGCCAGGTCACGATCTCGCGGTCCGTGAGTTCGAGCCCCGCGTCAGGCTCTGGGCTGATGGCTCAGAGCCTGGAGCCTGTTTCCGATTCTGTGTCTCCCTCTCTCTCTGCCCCTCCCCCGTTCATGCTCTGTCTCTCTCTGTCCCAAAAATAAATAAACGTTGAAAAAAAAATTAAAAAAAAAAAAAAAATATTTATTTAAAATTAGCTTCACCTGTTTGTTTCTAAATTTACTAATGTGGCAAATAGAAAAATTTAAATTACATACATAGCTGATGTTGTATTTCTATTGGGCTGGCTATAATAGAGATCTTATCTTTCAACCTAGAAGGTCAGACCCAGTTAAGTTCCCCCAACTCTTCATAATGCCTTCACTGTACCTATTTCTGGTATGGAATTGGCCCCCTAGTAAACATATGATATGGTACATTGACCTCAATTACAGATACTTTCACTGATGCGTAAAGTTGCCATGGAGGTAGAAATGTCTAAAGTCTGACCTTTAGCTCAGAAAATATTATACAAGAAGCATATTGTAAAAACCAGGGCCAGTAGGTAATTACTCTTAGTTTAAAATGATCAAATTTGAGGAAATTTATTTTAAAGCTATTAAAGAGTTATTCCAGTGCTTATTTGCTTATACATGAAGTTTCGTGGTCATCTATTTTCTTTCCCTCACAGTTACTCTGGGTCACATCTTCCAAGTCTTCCACCAATAGTGTATAGAGTTCAAGGCCTCCAAAATTACCTCCTAAACTGGGATAGCTTCCTAGCTGAGTTCCTTCTTTTTGGTTTCTCAGCCTCAACTCCATTCTCCACATGGCCAAGAAAGAGATAATCCCCCTAACGCACAATCCAGCCGCGGCTCTCCTCCTCTCTCACCCTAAAAAAGGCCTTCAGTGCTATGGAATTTCTTGCTAGATTCTCTCTGGATACCTCAACAGACATTAAATGCTCTCCATACTCTGCCCCAACTTTCCTTTTTTTCACTGCAACTACCCTTATTTTTTGCAATTCCTATGAGACTACTCACCATTCTCTCTAAGTCTTACCTCTGATTCTTCTCCCAGACAGTTTTCTTTACTTAGAATTCCTTCTTCCTTCTTCCTTCTTCCTTCTTCACCACTCTATACCCCAAGTCCTATCTAAAATGTTACTGTATTACCTGATGGTATATTATCAATACCTTAAGTCAGAAGGCAAAATACGGAAGACCAACAAAACAAAGTAGAAATAAACTAGATGGAAAAGCTGTTGAACTAAAAAAACATGGTTTCTTAGCTCTCATGTCCTTTTCTCTTAAAGAATTGGGTGGGGGGGGGGTGGGTAGAGTGGAGGCACAATGTTAATTCTGTGTTCAAAATTATCACCCAGAATGGAACTTCAACTTTTTTTGTAAATTTACTCTTTTCTGTTTTCTTGGAAGCCAAGTGAGAACACTGGTGAGCAGTGTGAGGTAGGGATTGGATTAGGGGAGTAGTGAGAGGCTGCTAGAATTGCTGGGGAGACAGAGTATGGTATACAGCATGACTTTGTGACTGCAACTGATTTTAAGAACTTGTAGAACTATAACTAACATTTTAAAGTTCCCTGGTATAGCTGCTTTGGCTTGAGTAGCAAAGTAGGAAGATTACATTTGCAGGTGCGTTGAAAATATATTTGACTCTATCTTAAACTCTTCGGTAACTCTTTCTCTCTTTACAATGCTAGGAAACTAGTAAAAAGTACTCGGTTACTGAAAGGCAACATACCAGTTTTCTATCAGTAAGGATTTTTAAAAGCAGACAAAATTTTGTTTATGTGATAAGAACATTTCCTTCAAAAGGAGCAGTTACTCAGGGCTTTAAATTTAATTATGTCATTTTTATAAAAAAGAAAGAAAGAGAGAGAGAAGACAAGTAAAGGAAAGAAAAGAAAAGAAAAAAGAAAAGGAAAAAGTCCCTAAGGCATACAGACTGAACTAATTTGTCTTCCTGGTAGCCTAGCTAAAAACATGTGTCTAGAGGCTGTACAGTATGCAAGCTAATGCAAGTGTGATTTACATCTTTCAGGAATGGACAAATGAGGTTTTCAGTTTGGCAACAAACCTGCTGGCCCAAAACATGTCCAGAGACGCATTTCTGGAAAAAGCGTAAGTAGCCCTAATTTTATTGCTAAGGGTGTTGCTTCTTCTGAGTCAGTTTCCTTTCTCCTTTGTGAGTTTTTTGTTTATGCTGCACTGGCTTCTTACATTGATAAACATAAACTTCCCTTTGGGATTTGTTAGAGAACTGATACCTCCAGTGTTTAGAATTGGTAAACTTCCAAGAAAGATTGCTCTTTCCTCCAAGCTGCACATCCGTGTTAGGCTGAGCTCTCCTGAATGTCAATGCCTTTGACACACAATAAGGAGACACGTCCAAATCCTGGCAGCTGTGCTCAGAACCAAAAATTATTAATTTCAGAGGGTCCTCTGCTTCTACATACATATGCCTGTGTCATATCAATTATTTATCTGAAGAAGGAAAAGAACAACATACAGTACTCATTTCTCTAGAGTCTTAGATCTCTGATAGATTCTATAATAACTTCCCTGCCTACTTAAGTCATAAACTGATGTCCTGATTCCTGCCCGCAGATCCCAGAAAGTGTTAGTAAGAAAGGAGAAAGAGAAAAGATGCAGAGGAAGGCACAGAATAAAAAGGAGGAGGAAAGACAAGCAAAACAAGATTACTCAATCACCCTGGAATTACACAGTCTTTCTAAAAATAATTTGACCAAGGAAAATAATGATTTTTGCCAGATGACCAGCAAGGAAAATTTGCTGTGTTCACTTTGGAGGCTATGGATGTCCAGGGGGTTGGAAAGCCTTGAAATCAAAACCACAAGCAGAAACATTACTAGGTGGTCCTCTGTTTACTTATTAACTTTCTCTTTTCCCTGTTCTTCTGTAAGACATACCCACCATTCCAGACCTAAGACTCCAGCCTACATTTCTTTCTTACTCTTCTATGAATTGCTTTTACTGTTAATACTGCACAGGTCATTACTTAAATGCTTTTTCATCTGATCATCTCCTCTCTAGTTTGTCACCTTGATGACCTTTCTAATGCCTCTCCCTACCCGCTGCCTTTCTTCTCTCTTTTTACTGTCTTTGAGTTTATCGCCCTTCATCTATGAGAACTTTCTAGAACATCTAATGTGCCAGGTAGAGTTAGTGGAAGAGGACACAGATAAAGAAGACATTGTATCTGAAACATAGCATGTTATAGCTAGTAAAACATCTACTTGGCTAATCATTGTCTATTTCGGATATCCCTTTCAAACAAGTGTATCCCTATGAATAGCTGCTATGGGCATTCTAGAACATGCCTTTTGATGAACATGTTATAACCAGTTCTGTTGCATATATATCTAGATATGGGATTGATGGGTCATAGCATGTGCAGTTTCCTAAAGTGGTAATCCCAATCCACACACCCATGAGCAGCATTCAAAATTTCTGTTGCTCTCTCTCTATCCATATGTCCATAAGCAGTTGAAGAGATAAATACAGTAGTTGTATTGACACAATGGAATACTTTGCAACAATGAGAGTAAATGATCTACAACTATAAGCGAAAAATAAGGATGGATCTCAAAAATATGAGAAGCCAGACACAAAAGAATGTTATTCCATTTATATAAAGTGCAAAACAGGCTAAAATGAAATCTATGTTGTTTAAAGTCACAATAATGGTTCCATTTTGGGGACTGGGCTCTGGAAAGGGGCACTAGAGGAGCTTCTGGGATGTTGCTAAGGTGATCATGTTCTAGTTCTTGATCTGGGTACTGATTGCAGAGACCTAAACAGTTTGTAAGATTCAATAAATTGTACATAGGCATCAGCCCTTTTCTATGTATTTTATTCCTTAATAGAAAGCATTTTAAAGATTAAACACTTGTTTTTCTGCTTCTCCAACAGCTATACGAAGCTTAAGCTGCAAGTCACTCCAGAAGGGCGCATTCCTCTCAAAAAGTAAGCTTCGGGAGCCCTTCCCAGTGTTCATGTGCTTTTCTCAAAGATTTGACTACATGCCATGGCTCTGTTTCATTTATCCACTGGCCCAATGGGAGCGTGAAAATGCATGGTAACCTTGTTCTCCCTCATGCTCCATGTTCATGTCAATGCAGCTAGTTTCCTCATAGGGATTTTCCTGTGGCATCATTTTCAAGAAACAACAAAGCAGGAAGTGGGTAGAAAGGGTGGGAAACCTTACTGCTAAACCCAAAAGGCCATCTGAGATTCAGATCTATTCTAGGAATAGAAATTGGGCAACTTCAATGCCTCTTTCTACCAAGATGACGCTAGCCTTGAAGGAGGAGCTGCAAACTCAAATGTCAACAGAAACCAGGCAGGGAACTTACATGATGATGCAGGCCAGGAGTGGGAAGAACTAGAGTAAAACTTATCTAGAGGAGACAATGACAGCTCACCTCTATCATATTCCTTGTGGGACCAGTGGGCTCTGGATGCTAGATTTTGTCATGTTTCAATAGAACCCATAAATTCAAATTATTGAATAAAATCCAGTTTTAATGCAGTACTTAAATATTATTTTGTTAATAAATTGACCTCTCTTTTATTGAAGTATAGCTGATGCACATAAATTTTATTTTTTAAAACCAAATTACTGACCAAAGGAAATATGTCCTTAGTCTTTAACCTTTGACTTACTGGTAGGCTCTTATTCATAACAGTGCTAAATTATTGTTATTATTATTATTAAGAGTAATTCATTATCTACTAATAATGTTAAAAACCTACACCTTTAGAGCAATAGGTAGCAGCAAAAGAGAAAGAGTTATCAAGGATTTATTTAAGTACTTAATATTAGAGGCTACTTAGTGCCATGGTTTTTCATTGGGTCATCACCTTTGCCTCAAAAGGTTGATTTTATATTAGATGTTGTGATTTTGAAAAGCACATACATAGATCTTTTTTAGAACATATATGCAGATGCATGAAGCAATGCATATATTTTAATTCTTTAAAGATGAATGACGAGGAGGTTTGATTCAATGGGATGTTTCTAATGGGTGTCATCGGTAAGTGTGTGGTCCATATCTCATGTGTTGTGACTTCATTTCACAGCATATACCGCTTGTTCTCAGCAGACCGGAAGCGAGTTGAAACTGCTTTAGAGGCTTGTAGTCTTCCATCTTCAAGGGTGAGCATGTTGCTTTTCTGGAATTAGTAGTATTAAACAGCTGTAATAATCATACTGAAATATAGCTTGCCCTCATATTACCCAAACATTTTTTAAGAAGTCCTTAGGACTTAATATTAATATTTACAATACATGGGGCCACTGTAATTATATTTTCTTTCATTCCCATAAACCCAATATTTTATCTACAAAGATCCTTGTTCTTTGTAAATAGTAATTTTTTAGAAACATCTAATATAAAAAGATATGGGCCAAAAAGTATTATTGTTAAGAATTTAAACTTCTCATATTAACAAATCCTTTGTTGATGTCCATTGAGACGTTAGCTAATCAGTATGGATTGTGATTAGGAAGATATTTAAAATATCGATCCATCTTATTCTAACCATTTAAAATGTCTAGTTTTAAGACTTGTAGGTTAATAAGAAATTAACATGAGAGTACATGTTTATAAATAAATATATTTACATTCTCTGCTGGGCTGTGCTCACACAGTTTTTGCATGGAGGGATGCAGAATGAATCTGGAGACTGCCTACTTTGCTCATAAGGTGGTAAGATAGAGGAGAGAAGAGACCCAGCACATTCAAGGCACTCAATGTATGTTGCCCACCTAAAATAATTTGCCTTGATTTCAGTGCAGTCCTATATAACTGGCTCTAAAATGATTTGTTACCATTATTTCTGGGAGAGCAGTCTATTATATAAAATCTTTTTCTCAGGCTATATGCAGAACTCGCCTTTCTATTGCAAATTATTTTTATCCTAGTATCTAAGCAACAAGTAAGCTCTTTCCCAAGAATAACACTTAAACTATAGGAAGAACCTTCTAGCCTCTTGAAACACTCTGGAAATGTTCAGTTTGCACTGAATGAAGTTGAGAAACCATTCCTAAACTTGTTAAGTTATGAAGAAGTATTGAGTGCTATTATTAAATGTAACAGCCCATTCTTATTGTCAATACTTTTTAGGAAAATGCAGTTTATTAAGAACTTCAATAGGTAACAGAAAGAAAAAGAAGAGTGCTCCCCCACTCTGAGTTTCCTGCTATAGGTGGAAAAAGTGGGTGATGCTACAAACCTGGACAGAGCCATGGAAAGGCTCCCCCAAACATGCTAACCTTCCCTTGAATATGTAAACTGAAATGATCGAATTTGCTCATTGTTGCTGTTTCCTAGATGCTTTGGGGTAGGAAAGATGTGCCAGTTCAGGTCCCATCATTGCTCAACAAATATTTCTTGAGCTCTTATACTACCTGCCCTCAAGCCCTGAGAATGTGTTAGTGAACAAAACATAATCCTAGGATCCAAGGACCATACAGTTTCCGGGGGTGCTCCTCAAACACGTGGATTGACATATATGTAAATGGGTGGGGGGGGGCTGGGGTTGCTGTGAGCAAAAGGAATGGAGTGCTACCATTGTTAATAAGGGAGAATCAGTCCAGAAAAAGGAAAGGGTATGTGCTAAAACCCTGAGGCTGGAACGAATTTACTGGTCTGAATAACAATGACAAAGACTTCTGCATTTAAGCACAAAAAAAAAAAAAAAACCAAAAAAACAAAAAAACAAAAAAAACAAAAAAAAAACTTGAAGGATGAATTTAGAAAACCATGAAATTTTTTTTTCCTCTGCAATTACTCCTGATTTTACCTTTACTGGATAACATCTTGTGAATATAATGCTCAAAAATTTTAACTTACTATAAGTCTAGCTAAAGGAAAGAAAGAATAGAAATTGAAGCTGAATAGAAAATCAAATCCATCAAGCAATTCTCTGTAAATTGCAATTTTCTAAACAATTGGATACTGAAAATTCAGTCAATAAATATAAATTGAGTTTTTACAATCCACTATGTCTACTATAGGATCATGCTTTCAGACCAATATCAGCTGGAGACATTTTAAAAAGAAAATGAGATTCAAATAAGAGTTTTGTTAAAAATGAAAAAAATATTTATATTTAGTAAATTAGATGTTATGACAATTTCCTGAAAACAAATTGGAGATTAAAAAAAAACAATCAGCCTCTATAATGAAGTCTTAAAAGATCATTATTCATAGTATAGTAAAGTATACTTTACTTGGGGGACTTGTAGAATTAGAATGCTTTAAAAAGATCTAAAATCCAAAGACAGGTTAAGAGCTGGGAAATAAATGTTTCCATGAACTGATATATTTTAAAGCCTTGTAATTTCATATCTACAGAACAGTGATTCTGGAAAAAAAATACACTAATTAGCAAAACGATTCTGGATATACTGACAAGAGGTGTTTCAAACACCCCACAGAAGAAAAGGCTACATAAATGGTAGATAGGGCCGCATATCTGGGAGCCTCATTTCATAGCCAGTGGTCGTTCAGACTAGATTTAATTGTGTTCTGTAAATAGTACTTTACCAGAAACACAGTGGATATCCTGTTGAGATTTTATAAACATTATCTTTGTGCACATTGTTAGGAATAATTAATGCACTTGAAGTTGTATCCTGGCCAACTGGATCCACTGGAATAACACATTCCTTTAGAGGGTACTCCTTTAGAGACTACAGTTGCTTGCCAAAGTTACCTTAATTGTTAAAAAGTAGCACTGTATCTAAAAAGAGAGACAAAGCAATTACTGTCTTTCTATTAATAACCCAAACATATTTTCCAGGGAGACCTTTGAACACCTTTCCATATTCAGAAAATTACCACTTTACCCATAAACTTTTTGAGAACTCAAAGTGGTTTTCTTGAACCAAATTCCCTTTGACTTAAGACTTATTAACTTGAAAAAAGTTCAGTGACATTTGGATTTGTATTATAGTCACTGCATAGCACTGTCACTTTTTAAAAAAAAATTTTTAATGTTTATTTTTGAGAGAGAGTGAGACAGACTGCAAGTGGGGGAGGGGTAGAGAGTAAGGGAGACACAGAATCCAAAGCAGGTTCCAGGCTCTGAGCTGTCAGCACAGAGCCCCACGCAGGGCTCGAGCTCACGAACCCCACGAAATCATGACCTGAGCCGAAGTCGGACACTTAACCAACTGACCCACCCAGGTGCCCCTAGCACTGACACTGTAATGAACAAGATAGGAATAAATCAATGGATAGTTGATCCCTGAACAACACAGATTTAAGTCACACTGGTCCACTTACATGTGAATTTTTTTTTTCAGTAAATACAGTACAGTACTATAAATGTATTTTCTCTTCCTTGTGATTTTCTTTGTAATATTTTCCTTTCTCTAGGCTATGTCATTGTAAGAATACAGGATACAATATATATAATACACAAAATCTGTGTTGATCGACTGCTAATGTTATCAGGAAGGCTCCCAGTCAACAGTAGGCTGTTAGTAAAATTTGTGAGGGAGTCAAATTTACACATGGATTTTTGACCATGTGATGGAGGGTCGGGACCCCAAGCTCCTGCATTGTTTAAGGATCAACTGTATTAGTTTTAAATAATAAAGTTGACTATAGTTATGAACTTACATATAATGCTAAGGCAAACCGTAACTATTTTGGATTTAAAGAATACTGTAAATATTACTGGAGAATACAATAAATAAAATGTAAAAATACTTCTCCCAGGATGACTGTAATATGTTGTCTTTCTCCTATGACTTATACCCAGCCTATAAATAAAAAATATAATCATTTATGTAGCTGTGACTCTGTCTCAAAATTCTGTCTTAAAATTACACTAAGAATTTGGTTTATTATGAGTAATTTACTTGTGATTATTTCATGTACTGTATGGCCAACTCAACTTTTGCCTTATAACTTTAGAACAAAAATATTAAGAATAAATTGATGTCAACATTTAGTTTGCTGGATTACAGTGTGACTTATGGAATCAAGTGACCTGGGTTCAAAGCCATAGCACCTACACACACACACACACACACACACACACACACACACGGGACCTTAGACAAGTTTTGTAACCTGCCATGTCCCTAGTGTTTGTATCTGAAAAGGGTCACTAGCCATGCCAACCATATAGAGTTGACACGGGATCAAATGAAAACATACAAGTAAAGCTCTGTGTGCATGGGGGTGCCTGGGTGGCTCAGTTGGTTAAACATCTGACTTCAGCTCGGGTCATGATCTCCTGGTTTGTGAGTTCAACCCCTGCATCAGACTCTGTGCTGACAGCTCAGAGCCTGGAGCCTGCTTCAATCTTTTGTCTCCCTCTCTCTCTGCCCCTCCTCCACTTGCTCTCTCTCTCTCTCTCTCTCTCTCTCTCTCAAAAATAAATTTAAAAAATTTTAAAAATTTTTTAAGTTCTGTAAGCATGGCACACAGTAAGTGCTCAATATATATTAGTTCTTATTATCTTCTGAGTATTTTTTTCACATGCGTATGTATATGGTTTTTTTTTCCTTTTCCTGTTTTTAATTTGGTATGTGAATATGTGATAACTATGTCTAAGGAATCTGGAAATGCAAATGCTACCAGTACTACAATTGAGGTGTTTTTTTTTTTTTTTT